AAAAATTCCGAAATTTTGAACTCACAGGGAAGTATCTTTTTTTCGTTTTGTTTATGTTGAAAAGTCATCGAAAAGATAAAAGGATAACCTCCTGTAAACGGTTCTGTGGAGGATATTTGAATAATATAATATTTTCATCAATATTTTGTATGTTTACATTTCCAAGGTGAAAATGGATAACTCATACAGACAGATTTCTAGCAAGTAATTTTTAAGCAAAAAAACAGAACCGACTTCAATTCTCATATAAAAATTTAGAAGTACCGTCAATTTCTTCATGATTCAATGATCGGATCTAAATCAAATTAGTATAGGACCACCTGGGAGACACTACCTTTCCGATAGAAATTTAATCGTTATGTTGAGATTTTTATTGTTCGATCATAACGTTATTTTCAAATTAAATTTTTTAAATCATAACAGAATGAAAACGGTCATAAAAAACGCAGTCTCGTTAAAATTAAACATAAATATCCAAACTATTATTTTTTTCGAAAAAAATAAAAAATAAATAAACAACTTTACAATTATCTAAAAATAAAAATCTATGGTATTTAGTTAACTACAGTTAACTACAGATTTTTGTACTGAAAACTACGGACTGTGAATTTGGCCCTTAATGCCATTTTTGGTGCTTGAAATATTCTTTATAAAGCTCGTCTACGGTACTCGAATTTGCATTTTCAGAAGAACGCAACGCTTGGTTGGACTATGAATAAAAATTTAGCGCACTGCTTGCCCACTGATTTACTCCCACTACAACTATACACTATACTGCCCACTGAATTCAGCTCATTAAATTTACGTATGTATGTATGTAGATATACGTACATACATCTACGATTTGCACAAATAATTGAATACTATCGTATGTACTAACATATGCATATATTTAGCACATTTATGTAAGATAGTTCAAGTGCATATCTAGCAGGTGGTGGGCTGGCTCATGACGATGCCGCATCATGTAACGTAACACGCGGGCCATAATATAACTAAACCCATTTCATATATAGCTTATGATTGGAATGCCGTTTTGTACATTTACATAGCTATTTACCTAAATTGATTCATGTGTATGTATGTATGTATGTATGTAGATCTGGAAGATCTTTTACTTTTCTGTAGATAGTTTAAAATTATAGGAACAGAGTCTTACAGTGTTGTGTGCTTTTGCGATCGATTGGAGACCTACTGGAACATAGTAAAGACATACATACAACAAACTGTTGTACTTTCGGAAAATAAAAGTAAATTGTCCCTCATGCTTGCACTGCCGGATTTTGGATATCGAATGTATTCTCTATAGGGATTTTAACTGCTAGACCCTTATTTCATATACATACATACATATATGGCTTCTAGTTGGCTGCAAAAAACTATCCAGCTTGAGAAATTTGAAAACGAAAACGAATCTAGGACTGCTGGTTATTCTTTATAGTTTAATTATAACACCCAGAGAGAAAACCACGTAATTAAATAGAACAACAATAACAGCACATCTCTATACTGTTCTTCAAGAAGAAATCCTTTTACTTCTAATCAAAAGCTAAAAATAGAAAATGACACAAAAACACAAAAAGTCTGCGCTCACCTGTTCTCGAATCTGACAGCAACTGGCAGCTTACAGCTCTACCTACTGGGCTGCAAGGAATCTCTATGGAATTTGTTGCGTTTTTTCCTTTGTTTTACCAAGCCTACCCAGAGATATTCTTCTTATTGCTATGCGTCAAGGTTTTCTCTGTGCACCAACTATTCACCCGCATGGTGAGTATAGAGTTACAGGTTGGTGGGATTCCAAAGACAGTTCAAAAAGTGCACTGCGCATCGGGGTCTTATCTCCCTTGAACACAAGAGCATTGTGAATGTGGGGGATGTTGCAGTAGTGATTCAAAGTAAGTACCATCAGATCTTGAGCGAACTAATAGACACCAGCTAATTATTTGGTGATTAATTGCCGAAATGTTTCCATGAAAAGACTTCAGAGGGATTCCACCGCCAGTAAACGATGCAACAACCTTTTGTGTTTAGGATCGCACATGAATGCCTTTAAAGTTTAAACATAGAGGACTTTAAGCAGAGGAAGATTGCGCGCGCTTAGCTAACCATTGTTTCAAAGCTTTACTGGGATCGCATAGCGCTAACAAAGTCGTTAGCATGCGGCTGGACTTTTAACATCGGAAGTGATCCGTTATTTAATATGGTAGCCCGACGAGCCTATACTGGCCTGCTTGCAAAGGCTAATCTGCTTCCCACTCATACCAAATTAATTCTATCGACTGTTGCCTGCTGAAGAATGTTTTGTAGTACAATCGATACCTTGGTATTAGGAACAAGCGATTATAATATGTAGTTAATAGCCAAATCAGGATGTAATCAGTAAACATAATAGTACAATCATTATAATCAAACTTTGCAAGGAGCAGTAGAGAAATTCTGTTTGAATCAGATTTTTCAAAGATTCAGTCATGTGCTCCTTTTGCATTAATTCAGTTATTATCGTCTGCTTGTTATTATCTTGAGGTATCGTACCTTCAGATTAACCCAATTTTGTGAGCCTTTTCCTTCTATGTTGCTTTTCAATTAAAGAATATCAGAGGAGTTTTGGGGTTTAGCTTACTAATGGAAAACATTAAGGAATTAAAATATAATTTTTGTTACGTTTTAGCGATGGAACTAAGCATACAATACTCATCTCAATTTTTTTACTTTCTAATGGTTATTTAAATTATCAAGTATCACGAAAGCAATTTAAGTGAAAAATACTTTATTTTTAATTTAACATGAATACGATAGAAGCGAAAAAATTATTTTTCACTTAAATTGCTAATGAAACCGGCAAACTAGTCCCACTCCAGCTAGATTTTTTTTAATACATTCATATGTATTTATTACATTCTTCGCTAGGCTGAAATAAGAATTTCTTAACCATGTCTTCCAAATGCAGCAATTCTGCATTCCATTCATTTTCAGACAAAGCCGGATAAGAGGCTTTTAGCCGATAACCACCTGACACACGCACACGCACATGTTTCAACCTGTAATTCTAATACATATTTATGTACATACATATATATACATATTTATGTACATATGTACAAGCTCATAGAAGCTTTGTATTCAATGGCTATGCAATTTTTATTAATTTCAATTAAAGCTGCTATTTCACTCAGTGACTACAGGCAATCAGCGCTGGTTTGCTCATCGAGTCATCTCAAAATGAATTTAAATTAACTACAATAAAAGTACATACATATACATAAATAAATAAATAAATACTACATACACATATGTATAAATATACGTAAATTAAATATAGTACATAGGTATTTTTTTATATATTAAAATATTCACCTTTGCTGTTAGTGCCGTTCAGACTTCTATATATAAAACGTTGTATGTATATATAGAATCGAAGGCATTTGTATGCGAATATGTAATCTTGAAATATGTATGTATTTACTTGCTTTGTTGCTTGCTTGTAGTTCTATTTAAGCATACACATAAGCACATATAGTATATATGTATGTATAAGTATAAAGTATACAAATGTTTTTATTGTAACTTTTATTGCACTTTTTGCAATCTGCTACGCTGCTCTTGTTGTTGCTTTTTATCTTTTCTTGTTGTTAAATGAACAATGATTTGTTCTGATGATTCAAAAATAAAAATTGCAGTTTAGTAATTTCTCAGGGGTTACTGGTGTTGCTG